TTCTTCAACTAGTTCATCCCAAGATGACAATCGAGTCCTACAATCTTTATAAAACTGATAGGCCTTATCAGCAAAAAGGTCTACCCCTGTGTCTAACAACATAGCTTTTGGAACATTTCGAGCTACTCTCAGCTCTTCAACTCGTTCAAAGAAAGCCGTAACAGACATGCCCTTACTATCTCCTGAAAACTTCTTTAAATCCCATTTGTGAGGTGGTACTATCTTATGAGCACCCTGTGTAAAAGAAATATCCTCAACTATCGAAGAACTAGCAGGTGGATCAAACGTTCTAGCTTGCAAATGAGTGAGGCTCACCGGTACTGGACGATTTGTAATGTCAATGTCATTTAATTTAGTGTTAAACTTATTCATCGCAGATAAAGTCATGGCAGTTAAATCAGCTTTCCTTGTACTCTCCACAACGCTTGTGGCTGTCATCCTATCCAAACGATTCAACAGAAAAGTGAACTTGTTTTGAATCTTCGTGGCATCACTGGACGTCCTATTTCCTGTCAGATTATCAACTAATTTCATAACGTCTTGTAGTGACTTCTTTACTGCTGTTTCATCCTCCTCAAAAGAAAATGGATAATCTGGATAATGTAGACTATCGCCATCACGTTCCAATTGAATCGCTGAGGACAGCCTGTGCCTCATCTCATCACAACTCCCTAAACTAATGCCCCGAAAAGTTAACTCATAAGTCAATTCATCCTTATCAAGACGATTAATAATCAGTCTACGAGCCATTTTGAAAAATGTTACTAATCTCCTAGTAGTAAAAATAAAAAAAAATAAGACCGACAAAATTCAATATCCAAGAATTTACTTGGTTTCAATACCTTATCATCCAAATATAGTACTTGTCTACCTCTACACACGTATCTTTGGGATATACTCATATACAAAAAAAAAACTATAGGTTCATATAAACAATAAATTCAATAAAAAATATTATCAGTTCATATATCAGAAAAATTTAAATAATTTCAAAATTTAGTCATAAATACAAATGGTTCAAATTTCAGTTTCCGGTCCTAAAAAGAAATTAAGTCAAAATAGATAGCGACACTATCCCAACCTCACATAAGTAATATGAATACCCTACCTAAAGTGTGAGAAAAAAACAATTATTTTATCCCAACACAAGTATCCCTATTACCGTCCCTAAGATGTAAGCTGTAGGTTGTCTTTTTTTTTTTTTAAACAAATTTTAATTTAAATTACTAGCAATAAAAATATTTTACTCAAATTTGCGACTTTATGCACAAAACCCAAAAAAGTATCAAATCAACTATTAATCTAACCTTTTCTATAACCCTTAATTTTTTTCACAGGCCCCACGTTCGGAAGCCAAAATGTAACCCCCAAAACGTTACTTTAAGTTCAGTTGTCCCTGATGTCAACCTTGTAGCTCCGGTTCACTCAAGTGGAGAAGGGAGTGGGTGATTACTTCGTAATCAGGGAAAAATAAATTATTTTAGCTGTTCTGTTAAATTGGACGCCAGGTAGATCTACTATACCAAGCCACTACAAATCAGAAAAGTCCTACTTTTAAACCTACCAAATAAATAGGAAAATAAAAGACAACCTTAACTCAAACCTTGTTTATTTCCTAATTGGAAGATAGTTTCCCCTTAGTTAATGACCCCCTTTACAATTAGTGCGCTATTAGCGACTTCAAACACAATTCATATGCTAGAAAGACTAGGTTTTTACTTACATACCTGAGGGCTAATCATAACCCCAAATTTATACCAGTATTTACAATATTTTAGCGCAGTGTACAGAAATTAGACGAGGGTTAGTTCATTGAATCTTAATAAAATCAATAATATTACTTGTCAGTACCCCATTAAAATCCCCAATAAAATCAATAGTATTACTTCTCAATACCCACGGTCATTAGCGTTGGATCCAGGCGAAAGACATATCAAGCGCAACTCATAGAAAAGGTTAACTTCATTTAATATTAAAAATCCTGTAATTTCTGTATATTACAGAAGTTCATATCCAAAAATACTTATAAACTAAAATAGTATTTGTTTCACTAAACAATGTGAAACATACTCTTATTATAAAACACTATGAATTATGATATATGAACTAACCATGAAACATAGGCAATGAGGGCCTTTAATAGCATATGAACACAACGTTATTTAATCAAATAAATTCATAAAGAAAACTGTATACATATACGTATCAGTGGTAGACTAAATTAATAAACCCCAAATTATAACCGAAATGATAGAAAAATAAATGCATAATTTCCACTTATCTCCTGATCCGTGCTACTCAAGGCTAGCGTTGCCGCCTGTGGCATGTAGTCCTATGATACCAAATCTCTGATGTTCTAGAAAAGTAGATGAGGCGTTCGAACCCCAAAATGGCTGTTCTTCGTTAAAGAGGAAGTACTTAGTCAATACCAGTCAGGAAAACGCTAGTATTAGGCAGTATCTTCACTACCATACAGCTGCACTGTGCCCAGCAACAGTAGCAGGCAACACCGGGTACCAAGCAACACCCCGTACCAAGCAACACCGGTACCAAGCACCCTAAAATGTACAATCCTAATTACAATCTGATAACCTAAATTGATCCCGCCCCTTTATCTCTTGAAAATTAACGTGAATTAATTGAACCTCCCAGAGGGTTGAAATTATTCAAGCAAAGCATCAAAAGTGCCCAATAAAAAAAATGAACCAGTAAAACTATACAGTATAAACCTGTTCCCCATATTCAACCCCCTTAAAATCTGAAAGAATCTGTTATTAAAATGAATGGGTAGCAATATTTACAATTTATCAAATAAAACAAAAAGAATAAAACCAACCTCTGTTCCGGAGGGTGTAACTTCGAATCAAACAGGAAATGAAATCTGCGTAGAACTTCTTAAAGACCAATTCTCCCTTCAATATATAACCCAATTACGATCGGTCTCCAACCATCAAACTGCTACAGGACGACGGATGGGTTGAACTTCAATATTCAATACTCCTCAAGATGAGATGGGAAAGCCGGCACACAATCACATAAAAAATACCGGTCTAACTTCGCGTTAACCAACTTCAAAACGTACCATCAATGCTTCCCATAAAATAGAGACACTTTTACTAGACTCCCCACGCGGGATGATATACAAAATCACATAAAAAAGTAAAAAGTCTCTTAGCGAATTTTCAGTTCAACCACCTCCATTAACATTCCTTGTTGGAAAAGAAAGACTAAGCTGCCACGTGTTACAAATTACGCCGTTCTTCGCCCCCTAGCATAAAACCTCGACTGCGCAGAATCATTTCAAAGAAAATCCATTTAAACCAATCGCCACTGTCCGATCTCTAGAAATTATTGTTGGTTATACTGTGCGACCAATGACCTCCTTCAACTACTAGAATACGACCATTCGCATTCAGGCTGACAGCTCTGTTAACACTGCTCGACCAATAAGGAAAACCCAAAAATATGCCCATGAAAAGCAACCACCGCTTAAACGAGCACTCCTTAGTTCATGAATCACTGGCGTATGAATCGAAATCAGACATATGACGTCCCTTGTCCTCCGTCAAGCAGAGAGAGAGAGGTATTACCTAAGAATCACTTATCGAACAAAGATAGACATCTCGAAATGCGACAGGCATAATTCATGAAATTAAATGACATCCGACATCAGTTTTAACCTACAAAATAACAAAAACATTGTAAACAACACTTCTACAAGTAAACAGTTTTATTGAGAATCATAGTGAATTTCAGTGTAACCTTGTAAAAATTATGTGAGCCCTAAGGAGGAACATTTACCCAGTTACGCTAAATTCCTTTGAATAAAATCAAACAAAATACAGAGGTTATTGTAAACAATATTTTAAGAGTGAAAACTACTGCTGAAAACCATAGTGAAATTAAGTGTAACCTTGTAAAAATTATGTGAGCCCTAAGAAGGAACATTTACACCAGTTACGCTAAATCCCACCTGAATAAAGCTGTGTTTTCTCGAAAATCTAATGAAGTTTTACGACAGGAGCATATTCAAGGTAATTTCTAGATTATAAGTTAATTCTCTGCTAGTTTTGAGACAGAAATAGGCGATAAGGCATAACGTTCGATTAAAACCGTTACAACCTTGACTAATTCCATAAAGGAAGCGCTACAAAAAGTTTAACAGAACGAGTTAAAAAAGTCATGTGTAATAAGTATTTTTTAAAAAAAATTTAATGTAGGTTAGGTTAAACCACCAGATGTCTGTTTGAATAAAATAATTAATTAAAACACATTTAAGACAATTATTAACTAAACAACACAAAATAGTTTTACAAGCACAAACAGTTTAAAAATTTTTAAGGATATAATGTTAATTACTGAAAGTAAAAAGTAAAAATTATCAGACTGTCAATATGGGCAATTGCTCGTTGATAAAAATAAATAAATATATAGAAATCTAATTTTGTCAATCATCCACGACCGAAAATACTATGTCTAGATGTTTTTTATCCGAGATTGTATTTCAGGATGCCTAACAATTTCTTTAAAGGGGGGATTATGGCGAAGACCTAAGGGACGTGGATTTCGAGGTTATGTATGAAATTGATCGAGCTAATGGATATAGAACCCTCTTAAAACTTGTGTTTTTATTGATCTCATCTATAACCACATCTGTCTATGTTCCACACCAAAACTTTTCTATTCTTTTTATAGCAAACATTCCTTGAACACCAAATTTGTTATATTCACTTGGATCAAGTATTTTCAACTTTTCCATCTGCGAAACACATGAATGTGTAGATTTAATATGATTGTTGAGGTCCGTAGCGCAAAAATTGAAGACATACGTTTTGTAATCAGTTATCTTTACAATTTTATTAGATATACCATTTTCCAGTATCCACATTTGCGCTGTTCTACTCTTATTGTTATTTTCGTCCATTTTTGTGAAATATTTTCGTTATTTTTACATCTTCAGTAACTAAGTTTTTATATTATTGAATTATTTCTTTTTTTAGATATAATATTAAATATGGTCGACTGACAGCTTCCGATGCTGACGTAATTGACTCCGCCAAAGGCGCAGATATTCACGAAAAAATTCTTACATTCCCTGACGCATATGACACTCAAGTAGGAGAAAGAGGTCTGCGACTAAGTGGAGGTGAAAAACAAAGGGTGGCCATAGCGCGAACATTATTGAAAGCACCTAATATAATTTTACTAGATGAAGCAACGAGCGCTTTGGATACGAAAACTGAACGAAATATACAAGTACGTATGACTTTTTTATAATTAGAAGAAATACATTCCAATTCAAAAAATGTTAACAGTTTAATAGGAAAAGAGAAAATCTCAAAGTATATGTCGCAGAGACGTTTCTCTTCATTTTATTATAATGCAATGCCTGTTGAGGTATTAGCCAAGGGAGTAATTCCTTTTGAGATTTTTCTCTTTGTTTTTCGCTTTTTTATCTAAGATAGTAATAGAAAATCCTACATTATTGTGTTAACTTGTTTTCTTTTAGGACTCGCTTGAGAGAATGTGTGCAAATAGGACAACGATAATAGTAGCACACAGATTATCGACAATTATACATGCATATGAAATTCTCGTCCTTCAAGATGGTGAAATAATAGAACGAGGTAGGCACGATAACCTTATAGGGCAAGAGGGAGTTTACGCGAGCATGTGGAGGCAACAGTTGGAGAGCAAAGACAAAGAGTTGTCGGGAGAAAGCAGTTTGGAGAGAAGTTATACCAAGTAGTGATATTTTTAATTTTTTTTTTATTATTTAATAGTCGTATGCAAGTTTTTCTTCGTATTAAGTCGCAGAATTGTAAAATACCTTCGTTTCTATTTATTTCTTAATTAGTTAATTTGAAGGCGGACGAACAGTTAAAATTTAGTCTTCCAACTTTGTAAATTATGTAGGCAAATAGTATTTATAATAATTATTAAAACTTGAAACGACAACAAAATGTTTTTATAGTATTTTAATAAATAATATAAATGAGGTGATTGATATTATCAAACCATTTTTTTTATTCAAAACCTTTACTTAAATGAAAAAAAATTAACCTCAAATTGAATTTATTTTTTATTTATTAAAAATAAGTAAATAAAAAACATTTTAAATAGTAATAGACAGAGTGGTTCACTATAGTTGTTTTATACAATAAGAGGAGGTAAATTTTCTGAAAGGTTTTGCAATAATCAGCCTTAAAACCAGTAAAATATAGACACACGAGTGTTTGAGGATAAGAACACAGTAATTTTGTAATATATCTAATAATTTAGCGTATTAAGTAAGTTTTTATCTAGCAAAACGTTTCTGGAAATTTACTCTTACTTACCTACATCTTCATTGGAGTTAATACTTTAGAAAGGAGGGGAGCGCGTCAGAATTCTACGAAATTTTGATATATTATAGAACTTGACCTATAGATCAAATAACTCCGGTGCGCCAAAGCTCTAAGTTTAACAGTTTTTGATATACAGGGTGTCCAAAATCACTATTTCATAATTTAACATAAAATTAGCACAAAAATAAGTAAAACCTTTTTTTGTTTTCACCAACCAGAAATCTCTATTTGCTTAGATAATTTTTGTACATAAAAATGTACAGTGAAATTATTTTGATATTTCGGTGAAAGGAAGCTAATACATATATACTTCCATTTAAATTATTATAAATTAATTCCAATAGTCATCTGATGTACAGAGTGTCTCATTTCTTTAACATTATAATTCTTTCCAGTTCATTTTCTGATCAGCCAACTGAAATACCCATGTTAAAATCAACTATTTGCTTTCTGTATATACCTACATACTATTTCATCTTGTATTTTTATGTATACTAAGTGTCCAAATATAAATAACCAAAGCTATATTTCGAATTCTTCCTAAAAAAAAGTTTTTAACATAAAAACCATTACAATTGGACGTTCTAGTTTTCAAAAATGTAGTTTTTATAGATTTATGGGCAAAACGGTTAAATATGTTTTATTTAATGTGCTGAATATTTTCTAAACTAGTCACAACGAAATAGGTATCACTTATTTAAATTGTTATAACGCCAAAAAGAGAGGAGATACCTTAAATTTTGTGTTCTTATAGTTTAGGTACCTATGTGTCTTTAAGAGTGTGCAAGTTTTAATTTTTAAACATTATCATACATTTTATAAAGTTAAAAATAAATTGATAACAACACTTGTTTATTATTAAAAAATTTCAAAATAAATAAAAACTAATAATGTGTATGTCCTCCTCTGGCTCTTAAAACTTCTACACAACGTCTAGACATAGATTCTATTAGTTGACGAATCGTTCCTTGAGGAATATTGTTCCATTCCTCCTGAAGTTGTACTGCTAACACCTGTAGATTATTTGGCTGTTCTCGATCCTGCAATCTTCTTCCCATGATGCTCCAAAGATGTTCAATGGGGTTTAAGTCAGGGCTGTTGGCTGGCCACTCCATTACAGTAAGATTTTCCTCTTCAATAAAGTTTTGAACAATTCTTGCAGTGTGGGGCCTTGCATTATCTTGTTGTAAAACAAAATTAGGGCCTTCTAGATGAGCCAGTGGATCGACAATAGGTACTAATATCTCATCGATATAACGCCTAGCTGTTAGAGTGCCATTTTCAAAAACATGTAAGCGTGTACGCCCGTTCAATTGAATACCTCCCCAAACCATTACAGAACCACCACCAAAAGCTCTTACTTCTCTTACATTGCAATCCAAAAATCGTTCTCCACGGCGTCTATAGACTCTCGCACATCCATCGTTGGAGTAAAGGCAAAATCTTCGTGAAAAGAACATGGCTCCATTGATGAATATGCTGCAAAGTTTCTTCTTGCTCTACGATGAGCTGGTGTTAAATGAGGAACAATAGCTTGACTTCTTGAGTGTAGTTGGGCTTCATGAAGTCTATTACGTATAGTCTGTAGAGATATGCGTCTAGCAGTGGCCTGAAAATGTAAGTTTCTTATCTATGTAGCTGTTCTTGTCCTATTTTGTAGGGATAATCGTACAATTTGGCGGACCTGTCTGAGCGTAGTTATTCTTTCTCGTGGTGTATATGGTCTTCTACGGATAATACCTATGTCTTGAAATCTATTCCACATTCGGTGCCTTCCTTGTACAATAGGCCTTCCAAGAACATCGTTATTTATAATTTCAAGTGAATGTATGAGATACTTTTAATTTTTTGCGTATATATTTTTTTTCTCACCTCCTCATAAAAAAGTTTTATTTTTTTATATTGAAAATATGCATTTATGTGTGCTTGTTATTTGTATAAATTTTAATGGAAAATACGGGGGACATTTAAAAAGATTTAGATAATTAATTCAGTGATACCTATTTCGTTGTGACTAGTTTATTATTAATAGAATTCAAGTTGTGTTTTCCATTTTCATCTCTACACTATTTAATTTTGGACTTTACACAAGTTTTTATTTTTTATTTCGACTTCAAAATAGCAATGAACATTCATTTCGATTTCTGATGGAAAATCGTGAACCGCTCTGAATATTAACATTTAAAAATAAAGTTTACAAATCTGCGAAATACCACAGTGGATTTTACACATTACATTATCTATTATTTAATTTTTTATTTACTCAAATCCTCTCTAAAGCGATTATATTATATTTAAAGTGAATTTTACAGTGAAGTTAGTTGTTAATTTGTTAAAATATCGTTTGTTACAGACTTATACACTCTTTTAAGATTTGTGACGATATGAAATTATTTATACAAAATAAAGTATTTTTAATACTCTTTTTTTTTTACCTTCATTAATTAAATTATTAGTAAAAGAAAACTACTTGGAGAAAGTATATATCTTCAGACAAAAACAAAAGAAAATAAAGAAATATAGATTTTGGAAGAGAAATTACAGAAAGATTATACAAGGAAAAAAATGATAGAAACTTTGAAATAATACCATTAAAACAAATGACAGAAAAGAATGGGAAATTGTCCCACCTCCAATACGGATAAGTTATACACCAAATTGAAAGACATTTTTAAGAACATTTGTTTTCAATATGACTCATCTCAATTACTTGTCTGTTCTGAATTATATCATCCTAAATGTAACTAATTATATGACAGGTCTTTGCTTATATTCTGTTATTGTAGTGCTTATTACAGGCAATTAGTAGTACTTATGACTTACTAATATAAAAACAATTCTCTCAGTATATTATATGCAAGCATTGTATCTACCATTAACAAAGGGCATCTACTTAAAATTTTTCTCCAATTTTTCCATTACGGTCAATTTTAGAGATATCATATAAAAAACAAAAATTATACAGATGGATATCGCAAACATCTTTTAGTTTAACAATTTTCTTGAAAATCAGAATTTATCACATTTCGTAAAATTTCTCGAATACGGACCATTTTAGGAAAATTTTGTATGAGGCACGAATTATAGAGAATAATATTAGAAGTAACTTTTATTTGTAGAATTTTCTTCTCCAAGCGTAAATAACATACATGTATATATTTCATAACATATAAAAACGACCCCCTATAAAGTTGCCCTGCCACCCAGATGTTACGACTCTGCCAAAAATCTAATCAATTCACCACAGCCAGAATAAGAGTTAAGCTGAAAATTTGGAGTTTTACACTCTTATCCGTTTTTGAGTTTTCTTCAAAATTCGAAATAAACACATTTTCTCAAATACTTCGAATACGGTCCATTTTACAGAAATTATGTATGGAATAAGAATTATAGAAAATAAAATAACAAATAGGGGGTGGGTGGCTCAGTGGTAGAGTCTGCCTGTGGATCCAAGGGTCCCAGGTTCGAATCCCACCGTTGACGGGATTTTTTAAATTAATTCTGATGCCTTCGTAGGATTCCCCTCTCGACCATTCACTGTTGGGATCTAATTAACAGTGCTGTTCCTAAAGTGGCGCTGGGAAACAGTAACAAAGCCTACACAGCACACGAGGCTAATGGCTTTAGTAGTCGATGCCGATGACACAAAAAAAAATATAACAACTTTTATTCGAACAGTTTTCATAAAAATTTGAATTTTTTACATTTTGAAAAATTTCTTGAATACGGACCATTTTGTTTTGCTTTTATTCACCCCTACGCTTGTAGATTTCGAACCCATTTTTCTGCACAATAACCATCTACTTTTCCCATCCATTTTAGTGATTAATACATACTGTCAACTATTTATATTAAGTATTATTGTATTACAAGCCTCAAGATGGTCCTGTGTGGCCGAAATAGTCGCTTTTGTATTTATGATAGGGTAAGGGATAATTAAGCTCAATAAAAGTCATTAAACCACCAAAACTGTTTATTTAGTAAGATTACACTATGGTTAAGTTCGGTTTGGAACTCGACGGATCGCACAGAGCGCGTACGGAGTGCGTGACGTCATAGAGAGAGTTCACTCTTTTAGAATCTCAAGAAGAACACAAGGGGAATGACATATGACACTAGTGATAGTTTGCACTTGAATACACTTTTGTGTGTGTCTATGGACTGTAAAAAAAGAATTTTAAGGCTGTATGTTACGATACTAAATTAAGTACTAAATTTAGAACTAAATTAATGCATTTTTTAAGTACTAAAAAAAATTCACGTTGCAAACAGCAAATTTAGTACTAAAAAAAGTCATTAATTAATTAGATCTTGTTCTATTTTCTACTAAATTTATTACTAAAAGTGCGCCGAAATGTTGCGCAGTTTTTCATAGAAAAAGTTGACGCGACGGTATTTTCTGTACCCTTTTATTTTTAATTAGCGACAATTTTACATTATCGCCTTGAATAAAGTTCGCTTGTTTGATTTTGTAGGTTTTATTGTGTTTTTTTCGTGGTTATTATGCTGTATTTGGTTGTTGTCAAGTCAACTAGTGTCAAATCACTGTCAAATTGATACTAAAAACACCATTTACTTCACTTGTCTGTTTCACACAGAATTATTTCATTTCTCTGCTAATTTCACGTATTAATACGTTAATGCGCGTGCGCCAATAGTAAATTTAGTACTAAAAATTGGTATATCGTTGCAAACGGAAAAAAATATTTTCCGTTCTAAATTTAGTACTAAATTAATAACTTAATTTAGTGCTAAATTTAGTACTTAATTTAGTATCGTGACATACGGCCTTTAATCAAATAGAAAATAGTTATAACAGAAAGAAACAAGAAATATTACGTGTAAAACTGATAATTCACCGATCAGAAAATTGACATTTGACATTTTTGGCACATTCCTACTGATACCCGCTGATCTCCATCGGCCAACTCGGGGAAGAGTGAGCTCTGAGTACAGCGAACGCCAAACCGAACTCAGCCTATGTAATATTGTATTACGTGGCTACGCGGTCAAGCTAAGACTACCGCTTGGACTACAGGCTGAAACTTGGAAGTGAGGTTAACTAAAGGCGACAGTTTATTTTTATTAGAGCCCTCTAATGCACACTATGCAAAACTTAAAAGACAGCCCTCGTATTAAGAAATACGATTGAGTTCGACTGTCGTAGCTATGTGTATTAAAAGCCCAACTGCTAGAGATGCGGACGCGTACGTTCCTAAGATTCCAGGCTCGATCCCTGGTCAATGCATTAATTATTGTGTTTTGTATAGAACTTTTAATTGAACAATTTTCTTCTTCAAACGTAAATAACAGATATATTTCATAAAACATAAAAATGGCCCCCTATAAAGTACCCCCCAAGATGTTCCGACTCTGCCCAAAATCTAATCAGTTCACCGCAGGCCAGAATTAAGTTGGTATCAAATTTGGTCTTTTTTTCTCAGTTCATGAGTTATCGTGGATACAGACACACATACACACAGACATCATCGCGAAAATAGTCAAAACGGATCCAGGAAACACCAAAATGTAAAAATCCGTTGAAAAAATAATTCCTTTACTTTCCTTATCTGTATACAGATATATGACACCTTTATCCACTTGTGCCTTCAATTATATATTAGTTACATTAGAATGAATATAAAGCTTATAATAACATATACAGGGTGGGTGGTGGATTCTATACGCGTCAATTATGAGTATTTGAAAATGGCTTTTATGCAGGAAGATTAATATCTATTGTAGCTATAATTTTAAAATATTTTGAAATTTACAGTGTGACTCAAAAAGTTTCTATCTACCAAAGTATTAACATTAAAATCATTACAACGGTTTTAATTATTTAGTACCTAGTACAATATAAAATAAACAAAAATAGATTAACTTAAAAACATTGAAAACTTAACTCACAAAGATATGAGCTTAGTATGCATCAATGCATTTCTCCTTTATATCGATGCTATAGAGAAGTATTTTAAAATTTGTGAACGAGAAGAAACGGCGTCTGGCCCAAACTAGCACATCAAATTTCTGTCTAGGAATCTGGAAAGTCGTGATGGTCTAAAGGCATAGAATTTGTGTACAGAATGAAGAGGTCTGGGTTCGAATCTCAGCGACGACAGGTTTTTTTTTTTTAATATAGTATTTGTTTTCATCATTGGGGTTTGGGGATGGTCTTAATAATACGTAAGGGGATTTTTGGGATTTGTTTTCGAATTTTCAAATAAATCTAAAACATTTATTGTTAAGACAGTGTGAAGGAAGGCGAGTCTTATCTTAAATATTATGTCTATGGTTGAAGCCTGCTACACATTTGTTAAAATATAATAGCTAGAAACGTCAATACAAAACGATATTGGGTCTATTCTGTAACAATTCCTTTATATTTAACGGCCTTTAAAAATATGTTCGTATTCGTTAATTTACTTCTGTCATTATTTAAACAGATTTCTTTAAGATAGTCATCTAATGTATTTTAAAGATCCGTTTAAATAATGACAGAAGAAAATATTTTTAAAGGCCGTTAAATATAAAGGAATTGTTACAGAATAGACCCCATTAACTAAAAAAAATCTTTCAACATTTTAAAATAAATATTTATTAGACTAAATATATTTCCTCTATCACATAGACACTGAATTAAATCTAATATAACATTATGATTATAAATTCCCATCAAAAATCTTATGTTACAAAATATAATACTAGATTTTAATTTCATAAGGTTATTTTCTGTAACTAAATGCATTTATACAGGTAAGCTCAAGCCACAGAAACACAAGTTACATTTAAAAACCCAAATATACAAAAAATTGAATGAATTCAACAAGAACAAAGTCCCAAATTGTACATCTATTTTAATTTTGGGGTTTTTACATAAAACAGACACAAACAAATTTAATTACATGCAAAGCTTATGTCCAGAGTGCAATAGTAATAACCCAGGATATTCCAACTATAAAAGATATGACACAGCTGTAATTGAAGAAATAAATGAACAATAATCGCAGTTAACCTATCATCATCATGCAGTACCAGGAAGAATTTATCCACTTCAAATGTCCAAGATTTAGTTTCCCCACTGCTATCGATTATTTTCTTATCTGGGGACTTCTAAAAAAATGTATATGTGTATATTGACTTGAGCTTAAATGTATATATATTAATGTTAACCCTGAGGGTCAGGATTAAAATGGGACATTTATGTAATGACTAAAATTATATTTTAGTAAACCTAAATTGGTAATTCAAAATTTTAATTCGTTTGTATATTAAAGTGAAGAATTCAATTAAAATTAAACATATCATGTCATTTCTTGTACAAATAAAAATTTTGAATGTTTACAACTTTACATTTATATTTCAGTAATGTTTTTATCATTTAAAAGTAACTATAAAAAATTATTGTATTCCGTTTCAAGTTGTGTGCTCTTGTATAAAGTGCGTAATTGTCTTTTGTAAAGTTCAAGGCACATATTAAGGCATTTAAAGTACAACCTATCAAAAAAGCAGGAATAAACGAGTTGTTCCAACTTTGATTCGTTTTCCCACCATTTCTAATTTTTTTTTTTTTTAACAAAATGATTTAAACAGTAACATCTTCAGATATATTACAATGGAACCTAAGAAACATTATTTCAACTAGGTGTAAGTAGATATTAAAATAAACATTTCATATTAAGAAACAATAAATGGAAGCAACATGGAACTGAAAATATTTCTTGAAATATATCTGACGAGAATGTACATTCCAAAAACATTTTTAATTCAAACTATATATTTAAGTAAAAAGTAATAAACAAATAAGCAAGATTCAGTTTTTCAAATTATTGAAAGAGGACAGTTAAAAACTGTAAAATTGGCTTTAAGAAATACAACGCCTAGAAAAAATTTCAAAATACTGTTCATTTTTAAGTATTTCTTTTTTTTATTTGAAATTGTTTTATTAAAGATTTGGGAATGTACAAGTACAAAACCTCGAACAATATCCATATAAAAGTGATCTTTTTTTAAAACAAGAAAGTTATTAATATTACTTTTAGCCATGAGGTGACATTAATTTGGTCACGTGGGATATGGATATTATTAAAGACTTTGTATAACAAGAAAATTGGTATATCTTGAAATTATATTAAATTTATATGTTTTTTTGTACCTCCTTTATTTTATAAGAAATAATTATGTAAAAACAAAAACTAAATATTGATGCAACGACCAAGACTTCATTTATACGGCAAATGTGTTGAATGTTTTAAGAAGGTGGAGATAGTGGTCTAGGAGTTGTAACAGCTGGTGTTTCATCACTCAAGGAGTTGCTAATTGATACTGAAAAGTAATTATAAAATTAGTGATTGTTATTTCAAGATCAAACTTATAGAACAATAATTATAAAAAAACAACTGAGGCTTTTGGTTTAATGGAGACAATTTTCAATATTAAAAAAATAATTTGTTATACTACATTCCGTAAGTGATAATTACTGAACGTTTTTTAGATACCACCAGTTATTTTTTCTAATAATTTACTCTTGGTCAAACAATTAAAATTATTAAGAACAAATATTTAAATTTAATTCTATTTATATCTTGCTTTTAAATGATGCATCTAATTAAACAAGTTTTAAGATGAGAAACTGATTTTAAAAGCTTTCCCTCATATAGGTAATTCTTTGAAAGACTTATTTGGCAATAAATTTTCAAGTATAAAGAACTTGTATACTAAGTGTTTTTCTGAATCATGAGTTGAACCAGTAGTCCCTGGTGTGACTGCAAAAACTGACATGTCGTGTTGTTTGCTTGATATCTGTAGTTAAGAACAGAGGTGAACAACATGTACTATGTCCCGATGGTGGGAGCGGTCATGTGAGTAAATAAAGTTACTTATTGATGGATTTTTCGTTTTTTCTATCAATTGAAATGCGGACCACAAGTTAAATTAGCGTAAATGGGAGTGAGCAGAAAGCTGTATGTACCATGAGGGGGCCACATAATAACGCGTCGCTAGGTGATCTTTGTTTGTTTCATGAGTGGTCGTATTATATTTCAAAAAAAAGATCAAACGTGCCGCCTCAGAATGCCAATACTGATTGATTGATTGATATATTGGGACCAAAGTCATCACAATCAGAAGAATTAGGTTAAGAGTAACATGTGCCCTACACAGAAAATCTGTTTCTATTGTAACAAATCTGTTACAAAATTCGTCTTATGCATTGTTTGCAAGAAGAACTGTTTCCATGAAAGTTGTGCTAAAAGAGTTTGCACAATTCCTAATGGATCTATAAAATGTCCAGAGTGTGTAAAAAGTGAGGTTAATAAAGTTGGAAACACCTTTGGCAGTATCAGTGTTGCTCCACAGGATCTAAATATGTCATCTGTAGAGGTGGTGAAGAGTCTGAGCGACTTACAAGAAGCAGTTACATTTATGTCTGCCAAATTTGATGTCAAAGAAAATAAGAGTGTTCTTAATGAACTAAGAACACTTAAAAACAAGAATTCGAGTCTTACAATTAAGGTGAATCAACTTGAAGAAGGCATAAATGTAATGGAGATGAAGGAAATATCCTGTAATGTTGAGATACATGGTACACAAGTTAAAAGTTGGGCTGACCCCAAAGCTGTTGTACTAGAAATTGCTAACAATTTATTTCAAGGTAATATTCTAAATAATGATATCTGTGAATGTTATACCAAAGAAACAAAAAAAGGACCAATTATAATTACAAAATTCTCTAATCAGGAAATAAAAAAAAAGTTCCTAGACAGTCGCAAAGGTTGTAAAATTGACTCAAAAATGCTCAGTGTTAACAAGTCAATTAATAAGGCTACAAAAGAATCCACTTTTTATGTGAATGAACAACTTACAACCACCAATAGGAACTTGTTTAACATGGTATACAAATTAAAAAAGAATGATGGCTATAAATTCTTGTGGTCAAAAAATGGAAAAGTGTATATAAGAAAACATGATGGTGAACCTTCAGTTCAAATAAACAAGAATGGTAAGTGGTATTAATAACTAATGTAAACAAAAAACTGACTACAGACTGTTGAATAAAACTTTATTAAAATGGCTAATACAAGTCCCAAATTTTATAAGAATCTTGATGAGTTTAAAAATGAAGCAAATCAATCTAATTTTTTCTATATTATACTTAAAAGCTCGCTCAGTACTTAATAAGTTAGATGAAATTGAAGCACTTAGTAAACTTGTCAATCTACCTGATGTAATTATTGTTACAGAGTCATGGCTTTCTCCTGGTGAGGAAAACTATTTTAATTTGCCAGATTATAATGCAATTTATGAATCCAGAAATAAAACGGGAGGTGGAGTTGGCATTCTAGTAAAAGAAGGCTACAATTTTACAGAAATTGACAAGTTAAGTGAAAAATGTTCTATGCTATTTATAAGATTAGAACAAAGGAACTTTGTTATAGGTGCTATATATAGATCTCAACATTTTAATAAAAACAATTAAACTGCAAGTAAAAGATGACTCTATAGAAGTTCCTAAGAAAATTGCACATATTCTTTACACCCATTTTACAGAAATAGGTAAAGCCTTAAAATTTGTTTGAAAATTAAGAAATACCTCCTTTATAAATCTTTTAGGAATTTGCATATAATATAATTCTGTTTATGCTATAATCTAAACCAGTTAATAGCTAAACAAATGAAGTGTCTAATAATAAAATCCAAGGTTACTTCAAATTAACAGGAAAGATCAATTTTAAAATTTACCAGAACAAGTTTTGTCACTGAAAACCACAACAGATAAAAACTTGAATAGTTAAATATTTGAAAATGTTTGGGATATATTTATTAACATTCAAAGAAATCAAGTGCAATATTGAACTGAAATTGTAGAATAAATTTATTAACTACTCATATTTTGGGATATTTTAAATAAACTAAAGGACTTTTAAATCATTTTATACTCTATTTACAGGTTTTTCTTTCATAATAGACAGATCCCAATGATATATTTTTTTATAAAAATTACTGTTACATCAGCAAAACAATGCTTGCCTTAAAACATTACTTAAATCACTATTATCTTGCTTTATAGTATATCTTTAGGAAAATCTCTATACATAAAGCAATAGATAGATAGATAGATAGATAGATAGATCATATGCCCTACTCTTTTTTCCACTATCTATTGATGCCTTTTGCCTAAATCTGACCAATTAATTAAAAATATCTGTACTTAAACAAAATTGATTATAAAAAATAAATAATGATAACCAACCAACAACAAAACATTATGATTAGGTACCTTGAAGTATTCACAGATGATAAAATGAAAAAATTTGGAAATTAAATAATAAAAATTAAGATTAAGATATTTTTTTATATACCTGGTTTATCAGATATAACAAATATGCATTAAACAACTAAGATCATGGGTTTATCTTATTGTTTTCTAAAAATATTGAGATACATTACTTATCTGAATACTCTTATATTATGTATTTACTCTAACTTTGGTTATTTTTGTAAAAATTATATATTAAAATACAAATGGCAATGAAAAGTAATAGAAAATACTAACAGAATTGTCATTGTTTAATTTGGAATTCAGTTTTGCTTCATGTATAAAAGCATATTTTTGTTTCCTATACATACAGTATTTTTATAGGTACATTAAATTAGTAATCTCTCATTTGAAACATTTTCAATTTAACAGCAAGACATGTAAAAAGACTAGTCAGGTTATTAACCATAAAAGCTATAAAAAGTAGAACATTGACTTTTAAAGCAAAAATCACGGAAATAATCAGAAGCAATGTGCACACAGAAATTTAAAAACAAAACATATTCAAGTTGCCACTACTCTTTCTTTTAAAAATCATAACAATTTGACTGGAAAATATTATGACATACAGGCGACAATTAATAGAATATTGACATTCAAATTCTTATAGTAGACACATAACAATGAATTAGCATCATTCTAAACGAATTGTTAAAATTTATTGAATAAAAATATAATCAAAACAAAATATAATTATTTTGGGTATTTTGTGGTCATATCTTGTCAAATCAAATGTCAGGACCAACCCAGATTCACAAGGACAAACAAACCACCAATAACTTTATAAATTGGGTCCAGCCTGAACTTAGCAACATGAATGTAGCATGAACTGAACACCAACTGAATGAAGTTTATAGAACCAGCTTAAAGTGTACACATCAATATTAAAATATGTTTAGTGAAAAATACAAAAAGCACTGAATCATTCAAAAGCATATCAAAATGAGTCAATAATACTTATCACTTAATTCCAATCAGTTTTCAATTAAAAAGTGGGCCCCTTCAATTTACTAGTAACAATAAAAATCTTACCAATAATAATGATCAAAATAATAGCTCCAATAACACCCATGATGATCATCATTTTGATATTCTTCCACCAATATTTCCGTTTCAGCTTTTGAGCTTGTTGTTCGAACCGTTTTCCTCCCTCTTGAAGAGCATCTGCCCGGCTGTCTAGTTCAGATAGTTTTTGATCTCTTTCCAAAACCTTTTCAACATTCACCCTCATAATACCGACAACCTCATTCACTTGTTGCTGGGTTTGCTCCAATTTGGAGGGTCCTCTGCTAGCACTAGGGTTCTCCATGTCTCCTGCAAAATAATATGTTTTACTGGGCATTTTCGCTAATTTTTCATTTGATTCTTATCTTATCAATTAGTTTGGACATTTGTACTGATAACAATAGATATTTGATAAGGGTGACACATTGACAATTTCATATTTGTTTTTATATTTACCTTATCTTCAAAATCTTCTTTCTACACGAAAAATAAGTAATGTAATTAACTACTACCGGCCTGTAATTCTTATTCAACTAAAATCAAAGCAAATTAAACAAATAGCAATTAACACAAAAATAAAAAAAATAAGTCTGGAATTTTAACAAGTAGCCATATTTATCAATGACGTCATACGTCACATGTCATTTAAGCAAATACAGGATCGCCAACATTTAGAAATGAACAGGTAAACCAACGTTGCAAATATATGTATTTTTTAATAGATTTGGTTAATTTTACAATATTATTGTGAAAGGCAGAACAGAAAGGAAAGTAACGGTCGGCATTTTGAAGTAGAAGCGACATTTCTGATCCACAGAACTCTGATCTTTAGTGCCACTAATTTGTATAGTATTGCCAACCTTAAAGTAAGATTTTTCCCTCTACTTATCTTCAAAATTCCCACTTTTCCCTCCCGTTCAGGGTTGCCACTTTTTCATTCCTCAAATCTTTGTTCTAAAAAAAGTCCTCAGCTCATAATAATTTTATAAGCTTAAAAAAAAGGTCTCTGAAAATCGTACAGGTGGCATTTATTTTTAAAATCATACATTTTTCACAATTTGGACTAGAGTAAAAAATTCTCATATTGAGTTAACTTTTTCCCTTCTGTCTTCGAGCATATCCTTTTGTGTCGCAAAACGGGAAATTTCCCTCCAGTTGGCAACATTGAATGTGTACAGTTCCACCGTTGAGGTACTCTAGGAAAAATAATGCACGCGAAAATAAACTATTAGGCATTCCAAACTGAATGCCTACCAGTGGGCTTTGACGGGTTATGATATTGCAAAATTATGGCAACCCTGTAGACCTGGTGATTTGACAAGGTCAATGAAATAGTTAGTTACATAGATTGTTTATCCATATTTTTCAAAATAAACATAAGCGTATGCCTTGAAGTAAAAATGTAAGCAATTATTATTATAAAAATTGGTTTTAAAACACATTTTTGCTAAACCGATTCAAATTAACAAATATTTGCCAGGCAATATGGCCGCTCGTAAACTACCAGATTTGAGCAATCTATATAACTATATATGTATCATTGACCCTGTTAATGACAACAGGGTTGCCATATCTAAACTGTCATTACCCACTGGTAGCCATTTCCACAGGTCGTTGAAATGCCTAATTCATTGAAACTACACTGCGAAAACATTTATTTATATTGTGTGTACATATGTGACATGCGTCGGTTGGGTATAATGTAGGGCTGCCATACCTCCCGATTTAGGCGGGAGCCTCCCGATTTCTCACACTCCCTCCCGCTTTTTAAACTAAGCTATAAACCTCCCGATTTTTCAGAAATTTCCTAATTTACTCCGAATTTACATTGAATAGATATTAAAAAATTATCGGTCATTCGGCCCATATTTACAACCGTCGTAATCTCTACAAGCGCCATCTTTTATATGTCTGGGGCCGATGGATTTAAAAACAAACCCTAAATTGGACGATTTCATATAAATTGCTGATGAGTTTGCTATTGGTGTAGATATTGATCTACTTTTAGAAGTTGTCATCATATTTAGAAAACCCACCACTAAATTTTAAAGACATTAAAATTGACCAGCAATGGGTTTATTATTTTAAGAGCCATAGATCTCTAAATTTTTTCAAAATTTGCTCTTATGTATTTCTTTTACCTATGAGTGAGAGCATTTTTAGTCTAATGTTTGTAGCATGGAGGAAAGAAAGAAATTCTCTTTCTATATTCTATAATTGAAGTAATTTTGCTTGAAGACTTTTTTTTTCAGAATTTTTTTATAAAATTGTCGCGGGGCCCGACCTGGAGAATTGTCCCGGGGCCTGACCTGGCTCTCGGAGGTCCTGGTTTAGCTACTACGAGAGCTATTATCTCAAAAGTACAAAGACTAGCCTGTGTTTGCATTACTGGTGATTAAAACCTGTTCTACGGGCGCAATGGAGGTGATCTTAAACCTCACCCCTCTACATTTGATTATAGAGAATGTGGCAAAAAGTACAAGATATAAAATGATCAGGAACGGAGTAATCAGACGCATATCTACTTGCTTCAGGACTAAAGATACCTGAGACATGCCCCAGGATGAAATGCTAAAGAAGTACAGTTTTGTGAAAAACTACAAAACCACAGAGCTGGACTGCAAAATGGAGCCAAGAATCCATCGCGCTTGCAACCGAAAGACGTGTTATTCAGTGGTATACGGACGGTTCCAAAACCATAGATGGATCTGGAATAGGAGTATATGGGCCGAGAACCAAGCACTCCGAAAGTTAGGGGAAATACCCAAGCATCTTCCAGAGAAACTATCATAGACAAGAGATTATCATCATGTCCGATAGTCAAGCAGCAATCAAAGCGCTGAGATCTTACGTACAAAAATGGTCTGGAGATGCCTAGAACAATTGATTGAGCTAGGCGAGAAAAATAGTGTTACTCTCACTTGGGTCTCGGGACATAACGGGGTACAGGGTAACGAGATTTTAGATAGTCTTGCAAGGAAAGTGGCTCAAACACCCTTTGTAGGACCTGAGCCGTTCTGCGGTATCAGCAGTAACATAATATTAGGAGAGATTAAAAATGAATTGGGCAGTAGAAGAACCGATAATTGGAACAATCTCTTGGGGCTGAGACAGGCCAAGATACTTCTGGGTGAATATAACCAGAAAAGATCGGAAGCCTGCTTCTGCCTGAGCAAGAACAGGCTACGTATTGCTACAGGGATCTTTACCGGGCATTGCCGACTAAAAGGACATCTAAGTAAACTGAGAGTAGTAGAGGATAGTGAGTGCAGATTCTGTAAGGAGGAGGACGAAACCTCCATTCACATCCTAACTGAACGTGTAGCACTCCAGAATCCAAGGGCACTATATCTAGGAGGATATCAAATAGAAGAGGGAGATTTACCTAACTTGAAGCTTTTCAAATCCTACACTTCCTTGAGAAAATAGAATTGGAAGGGTCGTTATAGGCATTGAGATATTTCCTTAGTACATTGGCGACAGAAGGGGGCACAAGAGATATTTTAGGTCGCAGTGTATTAACACCACATAACATAACATTATACAAATGTACAATTGTTACATGAAGATGGTTAAAAATTATACCAAAATTAAGAATAGGTACTTGTTTGTTGACTTGTTGAAAATGTTTTATTAATCGGGCATTGAAATTTGTTTTTTTTGATGCTACAATATTATCTTTGTATATTTAGTAGCTATTTGTATAATTTTTTTTTTTTTTATTTTAAACCTCCCGCTTTTCATTTCTGAAAATCTGGCAGCCCTAGTATAATGCCAAAACCAGGAATGTGCATATGTTCAGTTTTGAGAATGTGGTACATTCATGCACAATTTTCTTAACTGATGTGTCCATTAGAATAATATTCGGCTTACGTTTCGGAGGTTTACTCCCCATTTCAGAAATATTTCAAATGTTTCAAACATATAAAATTTCAAGCACAAGTTTCTGAAATATTTTAGTTAAATTTGTTAAGTTTATTTATTTGTTTATCGAAATTAGATCACTAAGACTCATTTTCAATTATATTTAAACACGATAATTCAATTAAACTCATTTTATTGTCAGAATACAACCGGCGATTGCCGCTTATGGCCAACTTCTCCTGCTCCTTACTCAGCATGTCTGGACCAAAACATTCCCTGCGCTTAGTTGGTCAGTGGCGCATATTTAAAAATATAAATTAAGAGCTAATACAAATATTTCACTGAAAATCCCAGCTAGCACAAAAACATCCCATCTACGTTAATAAGCTGCAATTTTAGGCTCTTTAAGCTCGCATGCAATGTACTGTTAATGTAACCCTATCATCCCTGCAACCACCGAATGTCCGCAACGGCAAGACTTTTATAGCACATCTCACAGAAGTTAAAAAGTGAAGTTCGGAAAACATCACACTAGCACTTTTACGGTACTTACCCTGAAAGTTGCTCTGAAACTTTCTATAGATGTTATAATGTGAATTCATTATACAGTGTGTCCACGGATGGACTTAACAATACTTGTAAAAATATTTATTTTAAATTTAAAAGTACTTCTTCATAATTTCTTTTGCTTGTTAAATAAATACGATTAACGTTGAGAAATTATGAAAAAGATCTTTTGAACAATTTAAAATAAATATCTTTACAAATATAGTTATGTCCATCCTTGGATACACTATATTCAAAATAGTATATTGAGGATATAGTAAAATCTGAAGAAAACAAAATAAAAAATTGTATAAATTTATTATTAAAAAGCTTTTGAAATCAAGAACCAATATCATACAAGTAGAGGTAGGTATTAATAATATAGGTAAAAAAAACACTGACAAATTGGACAAAAGTTGGTATAAAAGGGTATGTTTCTGAAATATGGTATACATGTTACACAAAAGGTTACTAAACGGGTTATATTGTGAAAGACCAACATTTAATGAAGAATTTCTGATTCGTAAGAAGATCTAGATGGGATATATTATGTAGTTATTTTATTTCATCTTTTGTCCAGCCAAATAATTATAGATTTGAGTTGTCGGTTTTTGTCATTTCCTTTTTTTTTGTTATGTATGCGTTGTGCTGTTGTTATATGGAAAGCAGAATAGGCAGAAAATGTCTTTAGAAATTGAGGAGAGTATTACAATGTTTGTTTAGGTTATAGGTTTATAAACTTTATCTTTTCTCTGAGACGAGTGATACACAGTTTAGTTTATCAAATTTATAGGCATTTTACTTTCTTATTTCTATTTAAATATAACCTACATTTGCTGTCCCTCCAGCAGATTTATTTATTAGTTCTACATAATTGAAAAGAGGAGCTTCATGTTTTTTGTAGGAATGAGTATTGTTTGTTTTATTATAGTTAATTTAAAACAATATTAATAGACCTTTTTAATTACCTATAATTTGTTTCAGATTAGTGCATTTAAAGGAATTGGTGAAAATGAAGCGATTCGCCAGCTTTGGGGCTGTGCCAGTAACATCGAAGTTATTCAACGTTTCCAGAATAAAGTATTAAGGAACATCGTCGATGCACCCTGGTACTGTCACACTACTGATCTTCATAGGGACCTTAAAGTGGAGACTGTTGAAAATACAATACAAAAATTTGCCAGTAGTCACCAACAATGACTGCTCCAATATAGAAACCAGCTGCCAATCTAACAAGAAGACCCAAGAAAACCAAGCCTTTTGAGTTAGTTCAGTGATGTTAAAGCAGAATATAGTACAGTTAAGAGGTATTCGTTAACGGTAGTGTAACTAAGGTATACTAGTGAGTAGAATATTAGTTTATGACGTTTTCCGCCCCTTGTTAAGTTAGATTAGAATAAAATTGCTAATTGATCTTAATGATCAGATTGTAATAATCATAAATGTTTCTTTACTTGACGCATTTATTTCTAAAAGATTTCAAATTTTTATTTCAGAAATATTACTGTGAAATATATTTACAGGACATTTTTACGTTTCAGGCACATTTCAGAAATGTTTCGTAATATTTATACATTAGAAATGTTTCAATGTAATATTTTTGAAATATGTTTGTGCTGTATGGGTCAGTTCATTGATTATTCTTAATAATCTGAAAAGAGGCCCAAATAAAGCAAGAGAGAGATTTAAGGGATTAGAGCAGGACCGGACTGGTCCAAAATAGCCCCGGCGACAATAAAGTTGTTAAAATTAATATCCCTATACAATAAACAATTAATTTTACAGATATTTTTGTTTTGAAAGAAGTGTGTTAAATTAAAAGAGAAAATGTTTTGTAATAAAAGTATAATTTTAGATTTTCATATTTTATTTTAAAAATAAAAAAAAAATCAGATTCAAAATCTTAACTAAAGCATTCTAATCTTGTAAAATTATGTTTCTGCGTTCGTCAAAATTCATCTGTTTAAAGAGTTCTATAATCAGTCATTACTCTTTAATTTACAATTCATTCATATTATAATGTTTTAGGCCTTTCCTGTCAATTCTAAGGCATATTTTCAATAAGATCAATCAGCACTGTCCTCAGAAGAATTTGAAGATTCTACATGTGTTTTCTTATTTTTAGAGACCCTACTACCAATATTCTTTTTCATTAATGTTTTTCCTTTACTAGCACTTTTATTTTGCTGTGTTGATGTAGATGGTTCATAACTCTCAGTGCTATCAAATGAATCTGACGAGTATTCCACAGTAACTTCATCGTCTACAGCAGTTTTCACTTTTCTTTTAGCTCTATATACAGCATGCTTGTTCGCTAATGCTTTGTCTCTTATAGCTCTCCTAGACGCCTGAATTGTTTTAGATTTCTTAATGTACTCACTGGGAGTTTCTAAATGTGGAGTTTCTTTATTAAACTTCTCATAAGCTGTTTGTATTTCTTCTGTTAGTGGTGTCGACGAGAATGGAGGAACAGATGGATATTTTTCTAAAATGAAAGCAATAAAACAAATAATACTAAAATTTTTGATTATCAATTTAAGAATATGATGTATTGAAATGTCACAAATTATTTAAAATCGTGTTCACATTTTTGGAAATAATATTGGTGAATAATTATTTGCTCCAAGGATACCTATCCGTTTTTATAAATTATTCAAAATAGGACATTTTAGCTATACATTGGCAAAAATAGACAAACCATATTGTACTATAAATCTTAACAAATACGTTTTCGTTTTCTTGGGCAACCCAAACCTTCCAAATTTATTAAATTTTATAACGTTTGTGAAAATAATTGATTCTCAAAATATTGATAAAACATTGATTTAAGGTCATTAAAAAAACTTTAAAACCCATTCAAAATAATTACCTGTAAATTTTTTCATTAGCTCATAATATTCTTTGTTAGTATTGTCAAACGTGGTTAATAAATCTGTTTCTCGTAACTCTTGAAATTTTATTAATGCACTTTGGGTTTTTGAGACTGCGAAGGTGTCATTAATAAATAATTCGACTCCTTTTACGAATCTATCTTCTGGACCCAATGGTTTTCTTTCGGCAACGTATAAAAATACCTCATCAGCTCTCATCTTTGAAAAAATGTATACAGCATCCATTTGATTTCTGTTTTTCAATTCATATATAAGTTCATACAATTTGTGATATTCTTCCAATGTAATTCTAATTTTAACCCATCCTCTAAAATAGTACTTTAATTAGGTTTGGCTCTGTTACTTATTTAATTCAAATCTATTTCATTACTGGTATTTACATATGATAAAAATAAAATCTAATGATTGTTTTACTTATAATAATAATAGTTTATCTGTCCTTTAGGACCATGTTACATGATATAGGATAAGTCATAATATATATGAATAAAAAATATTAAAATACAAATAAATATAGGTACAGTATACAAAAAAAAATATATATATATATCTAAGAAATTCACATTAAAAATATATAATTAGAAAAAACATTTACCTTAAAATATGGTGGTATTCAGATAAATTATAAAAACATGAATCTACTAATTTTTAAGTTTTCTTTTAAAAGGGGTTCATATTTCTTTTCAGATTTAATGAAATCAGGGAGTTGATTAAAAAATTTAATTCCAACTAATTCAGGCGATTTCTCAAATAATGCTGTTGAATGTCTTGGTGTTCTGAATAAATTTGCATTCCTTGTTGAGTAGTCATGGTAATTTGAATTTTGTAAAAATTGGTGTATGTTGTGTTTAGCATATAGCAACGTTGTATAAATGTAAATACAGGGAAATGTTAATATTTTAAAATTTTTGAAGTTATATTTACAAGTTTGCATTAATTCTAGATTTAGAACTTTACAACCAGGTTCCTTCGCATCTAAAGCATCTTACAGTAGGTACATTTAGGGAAAAATATAATAAGTACTTACGTACAGGTATTTGAGAATATTTAATTATGTTTAGTTATGTTTAATTAAAGTTAATTATATTTAATTGTATTTAATTAAATTAAGTAGTATACAATGTGATATTAATTTATAAAAATAATTAAAGGGGTAGCACTTTGTATCATCTCTGCTGTCTCTTTTTTGTAGCATGATTTTATTTTGATGTATAATATGTAATTTTTTTATTTATCAGTATCATTCTACAAATAAACGTTATTATTATTATTATTAAAAATAAGCCGGATTATTCTTTTCTGTAAGATAAATACTTTAGATGCATTGACTGCATCACCCCAAAGAATAATGTTGTATGATATATGAGAATATTCTAAAGCATAGTAGACATTAAGCAGTTGCTCTTGGGTAAATATTGATTTAAATTTTAGGATTGCATAGTATGCGCTGTTTAATTTTTTACAAACATTAGATATTTGGCTATCCCAACCCATATTATTGCTATCAATATGTATGCCCAAAAATTTTGTAACATCTGAGAGCATAATTTCTGCATTATTGACATTTATTTTACAATTCTGGGTAATTTGATTTCTGAAGTAGAACTGAAGGCAAACGGTTTTGTTTGAATAAACAAAGAATTTCTATAACACCATGATGTAAACTCATTAGATAAAACATTTAATTTACTAATTAATTAATCTACTGATTGTGCGTTGGTGGCAATCATTTATGTAGCATAGAAAAATTAGAGGCCCTAAAATTGATCCCTGAGGCACACCCACTTTCTAGTTCAGACTTACAATTTTCGACTTGGACATAGAACTGTCTGTTATTTATATAAGATGATAACTAAGACAAAAAGTTATCTCTAAAACCAAGCCCTTCCAATTTTTGAATAGCGACATCTAAGTTGATTGAATCAAACGCCCTTGATAAATCAAAGAAAAGCGCACCCACAAACAACTTTTGATCGACAGAGGTATGTATGAAATTAAAAAGATCTATTGCTGCACTTTCAGTAGATTTTTCTGGAAGGATACCATTTTGATTTTTGCATATTATTTCATATTTTTTAAGAAATATTAGTATTTTTTTATGGACACACTTTTCAAAGATTTTGCTTAAGATTGTAGGCACTGTAATAGTCTATAATCATCAATTAAATTATTATCACCTTTTTTAAAGATAGGAGTTATATATCCTAATTTCAGATAATCGGGGAAAATACCTAGTTGAATAGACTGATTGATTAAGTCTGCTAGAATTTGAGAGATGTGATGACTAATACATATTATTATCTTTGTGGAAATGCAGCCAATGCCCATAGAGTTAAAATTTTTTAATGAGTGAATAACTTCAATTACATCATGATGATCAACAGGAGAGAAGTAAAAGGTCTGAGAGACACATGACGCAGTAAAATTTTTAAAATTCAAATCATTGAAATGAGACTGTAGTGCTTTTTACTTTCCTATCTGTATACAGATATAAGGAAAGTATAGGAATCATGATTTTTTTCGACCTCGAGTTTTCGACGGATTTTTAGGGGTCCCCTGAATCCGTTTTGACTATTTTCGCGATGATGTCTGTGTGTCGCATAACTCATGAACCGATACACAGAAAAACACCAAATTTCAAACTTAAGCTTTGTTCCAGCGTCCAGTGTGATGATTAGATTTTGGGCAGTGTCGGAACATCTGGGGGGGTACTTTATAGGTGGTCATTTTTATATTTTATGGAATATATCTGTTATTTACGTTTGGGGAAGAAAATTCTTCAAATAAAAGTTACTTCTTATATTATTATCTAAAATTTTTATTTTATACAAAATTTTCCTAAAATGGTCCGTATACGAGAAATTTGACAAAATGTAAAAAAATATTTTTTTATAAAAATTGTTCAAACAAAAGTTGTTTGTAATATAATTCTCTATAATTTTTATCCTATACATAATTTCTCTAAAATGGACCGTATTCGAGATATTTGAGAAAATGTGTAAATTTTGAAATTTGAAGAAAACTCTAAAACGGATAAAGAAAAAAACATTAAATTTTAAACTTAAGTTTTATTTCGGTCTGACGTGAAATAATTGGATTTTGGACAAAGTCGGAACATCTGGGGGGTACTTTATAGGGGGCCGTTTTTATATTTTATGGAATATATCTGTTATTTATGTTTGGAGAAAAAAATTGTTCAAATAAAAGTTATTTCTAATATTATTATCTATAATTTTTGCTTTATGTCAAAATTTCCTGAAATGGTCCGTATTCGAGAAATTTGACAAAATGTGCAAAATTCTGATTTTTATGAAAATTGTTGAAATAAAAGTTGTTTGCGATATCGATCTCTATAATTTTTGTTTATACATGATTTTTCTAAAATGGACTCTAATGGAAAAATTGTAGGAAAAGTGCTAAATTTAAATTTTTCAGTATTTTCATTTTCAATGAATATCTATAGAAAAATGTTTCGAGGTAGATGTATGTGGAAAATGTATATATTTATTTTATCCTCTAAACATTTATGGAGGTGCTGCAATAGGTTGTACAAAATAACCGGAAAAAGCCTGTAATAACTAGATAGGAAAGTCATGCGTTGGACACATCAATTTTTTTGTGGAGGTGGCAAAATGCTCTGCAAAAACTTTAGCTATTTGTTTTGGTTCAATAATTGACAGTCCTCCTACTTCAATTTGTTTAATTTGAGAACCTTCTGATGTTTTACCCTCTTGGTGATTTACCTGTTTCCATATATATTTTTGTTTTTATTATAAAACTGAATGGGTGATGTCCACAGCCATAATAATAATATTTACTGAAACAAACCTTAATGGCTGCTTATAATAGAGTCCATATAGTAAATAAAAGGCCCCAACTTGAGTATACATATTTTTTGCAAACATTATATATTTCTTTATTGCCCAAAAACAGTTGTCACAAAAGTCCTTTAATAGCAATGCATACACTTGGCCCCTAAAATAATAAGCTATGAAAGTAATTTGTACAAATTTAACAGAACAATATTATAGGGTGGTACTTACGCAAATACATAAGTAAATGACTTTTTATGCCAAACTTGTTGGAAATCTACAAAACTGAATGATTGGTACTTTTCAAATTCAATTAGAAAGTCTTCACAGTCCACTTGAAAAGCTGATGTCAACTCCTTGTCATACTGGTACATTAAGGTTTTATTTTCAAATTTCTTATTCATTTTGACCAATCTATTAAAAATATTGAGTAGTTATTAAAGTAAAATAAATTAGCTGTAGGTATAAAAAAATTAAAGTATTGAATGATTTATTACTTATCTGTTTTGTGTAAACTCACTTTCAAAATAACAACTCAGATTTGATATATAGAATAAATAACAAATTGTTAAAATATAAAAATGTAAAATTTGTAAATATAAAAGAATAGGTTAGAATTTCGTTTCTTATTTTTCTCTTATATTACAGCCTTTGCCTTTGACGGTAATCGGATAGGGCAACTTGACAACTTTGACAAGGGGCTATAAAAAATAGAAGAAAAAGAAGAAGAAGAAGTAAAATAAAAATTTGTATTTTTTTCAAATTCTAATGCGTTCAAAGTTCAAATTTCAAAATAAGAATAAAATACAAATATAACAAATAATATTTTTTCTATGTTTTATTTTCTATCAGGAATATTTTAAAGGAACGCTATAAGAATTACAATATTAGTTATAAATAATTATACAGGTACAGTAATGTGAGTAATGTAGTGTAGTGTAAATTTATAAATAAGTAAACATACCGTGGTAAACATTAAACAGGCTTTTATTCAACATGCCGAACCCTGATTCTATTATGTTATGGAAAGCTCTAAAAGGAATAATTTGTGTATACAAACCAGCAGAAATTTCAGTCAAAAATTTAAGAAAAACTCTTATAACTAAACTATGTAATGATCTTAGTGAATTAGATGTTAAATTACGTTATCCAATGCCAGAATCAATTACAAACAATTCAGATTCAACTTCCTTAGCCCGACAAGCTACAGAAATATCTCTAACAACTAATCAGAGTATTACAAAAAGTTTGGATTTGAGATATCATCCTTTAGTGATTGGTCCGAGGTATCGAGATGAAGATTTATTTGTGAGTTGGTCAAATTATTTAGGATGGAATACAAGTGGTGTTCTGCTTTTTGGTTTAAGACGTGGAACGCAGGTTGCTAAGTTTATTAGGGAAAATAGATCTACAAGAGCGTATCGCATTAATGGAGTATTTGGAAAGGCAACAGATAATGGTTTTCAAACTGGCAAGGTACTTATCATTTTATTTTATATTACAATTTTACTATTACAATTTAAATATTACTTATTAAGGGGTAACCCTAAGTGTAGGTGAGGGTGAAAATTTTTTTAATTTTCTGAATATTTTGAGATATTGGTTGCATAGATAATTAAAAAATTAAATTCGAAGAGTAGGCCATGTGTTTCAAATTCAATAAGTTTCAAATTCAATAAATGAGGGATTTTAAATAAGTAGTGAGTTACTTTAAAATTATTATTTTATTTTTTTTAATTATAATGGTACTAAACTATGTTGTATCGTAAATACACATAAAAGTTTATGGTCACAGATTTACAATGAACAAAATGTATACGAATAAAAATGGTAGAAGCAATTGCATATTATGTTTTCCTTAAATTTCAATAAGGGTTATGGTTGAATTTTGACCACTGGATGAGCATTAGTAACTATAACTACTTCCTGCAGTTTGTTAAAAAACACTTTAAGTACATTTGTAAAAAAAAATTACAATGTTTTTTTTTGTAGGTTGTAGAAAAATCAACTTGGAAATATATTAAACATGTTCACATACAGAGAATATTGTCTTCAATGCAAGCTTCCCACCAGAAGAAAATGTATGAAGCATGTGGAGTTGATTTAAATTCTCAATTGGCTTATGATTTGGCTGTAAAGGGTCCCATTCGACCTGTAGACTCAAAGATTCCTATTATATATGGGCTGAAGTGTATAGATTATGAAGGGCCTTCTTTTACTATAGAAGTGCAATGTATTAATGAAAATGAAATTTATTTAACTAATCTAATTCAAGAAATAGGTCTCAAACTTCATTCAACAGCTCATACAAGAACAATTAAATGCATTAGGCATAGTTGCTTTACTTTAGAACACGCATTGTTGCAGAAACATTGGAATTTGCATAATATTACCGAAAATATGGATAAGTGCAATAGGTTATTGGTAGAAAATGAAGAAATTGTGAATCAAAGTAGTCCCGTTTTAAGGTAAGGAACATTTAATAAGAAAAATTTAATAATGTACATCCTCAGTTTACATCTTAAATTTGTTTTAGGAAAGGAAGATTGGCTCCAGTACCATGATGTACAAAATGAGGCGTATCATTTGACATCTGTCAAGTACCTAATAATTTTCTTAAGCTGCAATAATGACCATGTTTTAAATAATAATACAGGATAGATAATATACTTTGTTTGTAGCTTTTTAATGTATTCACTTCTCAAATCGATATTTCTTTTAGAAGTTTGAATATATAAACGTTTTCCAAAGTATAAAATGTTTTTCTTTTGACAATAAAAACAAAAGAAGTTGTATTGTTGGTATTGCATGGTTTGTGTGGAATCTTGATTGCCAGAAAGTGACATCTATCAATTAGAGATCGAGGATAGAGAGTATACCTATCTAGATATAGTATAATAATTACTGTATAATTAATAATAGCATCAATGAAATTAAGAGAGGTGTTGGAGATGTCCATTATATGATTGATGGAAGTGCAATCAGTTTTATTTAGCTTTCAGGACAGTAGCAGCTGGACAACCCATAAGGAAAAAAAAACCTAATTGTTTATAATGTAATTTTAAATTTTTTAAATACATCCAGTCTAATTAAGACCCCCTGGGGGTCGATTCTCGACTCGTAGGAATTTTTTCCTATGGGAATTTTTGACATTTTTCTATACTTACATGGAAAATTTATGACATTTTCCTACATATAAGAAAGTGTCACAAATTCCTATAGGAAAGGGTTCCTACTTCTAGGGTTCCTACAAGTCGAGAATCGACCCCCTGGTAGAAATTAGGTTAGGCAACTTTATATACACATGTGTATATTGGGTTGTCGTGGTAGTAGGGTGTTACAGAAAGAAGAAAAAAAAGGAACTCACAAAAAATGATTACTCTAGTTCGGCTATAAAAAAGTACTTGTTCCACCTGCAAGGGCGCGGTTCCAATTTTCGGGGGGCATTGCCTTTAGCCATTCCATTTTTAACACATTTTTTTAAATAAAAGGCTCATCTTTATCGGTTGTAAGCAGGTAGGGTTAGGTTTGGCCCAGAACACTGCGGCCTCTTGGATCTATTGTATTCCCCTGCTTTTCCCGTATTCAGGTACTATCTTTGGAATAGTCCTGTGTCTTTGGTTAGTTTTAATAGGTTCCCTACCAAGTGTTCCTGGGGCGTTCTTTCCGGTTCTAGGCCGAAAAGGATGAAACGTCGCCCAGTAAGAGCTTCGCATTCGAAGATCACATGGTATGAGGTTTCTTCCTCTTCCATGCAAAGTCTACACCTAGTGGAATCATTGTGTAATCCCATTACATGAAGGTGTTTCAGCTAGGGCTGCCAGATTTGCCATTTTACCTGTATTTTTTGTGATTATCAATATCATATTGTCAATAATTATTATTTGTTTGTATTTGGGTGTATTTGGATGAATAAATAGTAAGTATTTTGTAAATAATTGTTTATTGTATTGTCAACTTGGTCTTGTTCAATTGTGTTTTAAATGTTCAATTTGTTTACTTGATCTTGCCGACGATTGAGCTTATTTTAAATTTTTGCGGTCATTTTTAGTTATAAAAGCTGTAATATATCGTATTGTTGTATGCCAAATTGTTTTGTAAACACTCTGAAATCCTAATAACGATTTATTTCAAATTTGAGTATTGGGTGTTCGCAGTCCATTTTTCAAGAATAAAACAACAAATTTGTAAAAACTATTTAGTATGTGATAAACATTTTGAAGATATGTTTAAAGTTCTTGGTGCGCGCAGCGATCTAACTGTATTTTTATTTGTTCTAGTACAAACTTTTTCAAGCCGTTTGGAGTGGCAGTAGTATTGCATCGTTGAAGACAAAAACAGCCTAGTCAGGGAAGTAATAGTCACTCTACTTTTTGTATTCATGCCTCACATTTGATTTTTATATTGATTTAGTTCAGATTGTTACTTTTGCTGTTTTTTTATTTGTTCTAGTACAAACTTTCTTCAAGCCGTTTGGAATGGCAATATTGGATTGTGGAAGACAAAATAGCATAGTCCGGGAAGTAATGGTCCGTATACCTTTTTTTATTTATGCCTCACTTTCTGTGCTCCCCAACAGATTTGAAGGGTTCAGGAAAAAAAGGGACCTAGTCACAATTATCAAAATGTTCAGAAAACCAAATTTAATTTAGACTGACTAAATACAAACTTTTGATACTTTAAGGTAATTGATTACAAAAAGATGTTACTTTGTTTAAATGTTGCCTGATTATATTGTAGTTTATTACCACTTAATTTACCAGACAGTTGTAATTTTTTATTCTAAATACTAAAAATGACAAACAAACAGTAGGAAAGTCCTTGGACATAATTTTAAATGCACTGTTTTGCATTTGCTAATACTGGTATTTTACAAAATAGGGCGGACCAGTTCAATTTTGATAAAAATGTGGCTTAGCTGCTTTTTTCTTCCTGTACCCTTCTTGATTTATAAGTTGATTAATATTTATTTTTTGTTTTAGATAAAACTCTTCAACCTCTGTGGACAATGACTTAACTTTCCAGCTAATTAACACGCTACATTTAATTATTCTATTTTGTATGTTTTTTTTGTTTTAATAAATTAATTTTGTTGATCATGCTTTTTAATTTTTTGTAAAAATATTTCAACTTGTAGTCAAGTTAGGATTGGTTCATACTACTCATTTTTTGCTTTATTGTAAAAAATATAATTTTATTGCTACAATAAACGTAAAAAAGGAGTTGGTATGAAAAAATCTTAATTTGACTACCACTTTTAAACTAAATATTGGAGGACCATTTTGAATGTTCCCGCGTTTTGTGTTAACTAAAGTGACCGCGAGATGGCGCCACTTTCGCCAAATAGTTCAAAGAACGCTCACCGGGTGTTACAAAACTGTCTCAAATTTTAACATTGCAGTTTCCATTCTAAAAGTAATTGTTCTGTGATTTTACCATTGTACCTGTGCGAGTCAGATTCTATCCCGTTGCATTTAACCGTTAGAAGTGAGAAGCTTTTGGCAAGTGCAATAAGACAATTTTACAATAATAACGCTAATTTTACGATAATTTTTGTAAAATGGCTTCAGGATCGGATTCTTCCATTATGTCTGACGAAATAGACTGGTTACGGCCTTTAGGAGGTGAAAACTGTGGAGTCTACGAAGATATAGTGGATTGTTTAAATGAAGAGGAAAGTGCGCCGTCACCGTTGGTGTTTGTGGACATTCACGAAAATTCGGTAAGGTTTAATTATTTTAAACATCCCACCTAACTGTAGTTTTGACACACACTTGTGTCAAGGGGTATTGGAAGATGTCCTATGGCCACTACCGTATAGGGTATATATAATTATGTTTTCTGATGTGTTGTTCTGAAACAGGGTTGCCAGATCTTTGTAATGAAAAAGCGGGACACTGTCGTTTCAGCAAAAGGGCCACAAACTTTTTAGAGCCACGCTTAATTTTGTTAGGAATTCAACCAAAACTTAAAAATGAGGACAAGAAACAAAATATTCTTTATTAGAATAACAAAATAAACGCTTTACAATAAAACAACAGAAGACATCATTATTTATACCCTATATATACAGGGTGTTACTTAATGATAGGCCGTTTAACGATCGAAGTTAACTTGATCTTATTGTAAATTTTAATAAAAGTGGTTTTTATTTTTTCCTCAAAAACGAAGTAAGATAAAAAAAAATTGTATTTTTAGCTGTGAGTGTTTCGGTGTATTCCCCCCACTCATTCGTCTTTTTAGCCTTATTAAAAAGTTTACATGTTTTCCATCTGAGTTTGGCGAGTTCGGTGTTCCACCAGCTCACCTCCCTAGAAGTTTTCCTGTTCTTTAACGAGCAGTTATTGTGATATGATGTTATAATTGCGTCCCGTAGTTGTTCTGCAATTTCATCTATATCATTTTTAGTATTAAGAGTTATTTTAACGGTTTTTAACAGTGGCCCCAGCTTCACTCCGTATCCAAACCAATCGGTTTTATGTGGGTATCGGTATACACCTCCTGGTTTATCGACGTTGTCGATTTCCATGAGAATATGCCGATGGTCTGAGAGCGAAGGCTCTCTAGACACGTACCACTTGCCAATGTGATTTGAAACGAAGGAAGAACCAAGGGTAATATCAATAACCTCGCTCCGTCTACTGGTTACAAAAGTAGGTTCGTTTCCACGATTCAATATTTCCAGGTTAGTGGTTAGAATGAATTCAAGTAAAGACTCACCTCTTTTGTTGTTGTCCTTGCTGCCCCATGTAATATGGTGTGAATTTGCGTCAGCAGCAATGAGTAGCTGCAGGTTTTCGGCCCGACAGGTACCTACTAAATCCCTCAGCTCATCTGTTGGTGGAGGGCAGGGCGAGTCATAGGGAAGGTATGCAGAGGTTAAAATAAGTGGCCTCTTGTTGCCTGCTATGTTTATTTCCATCCTGACTGATACTAGGTCTCTAAAACAGAAATCTTGTAAGTTGAGGATGTCTAGACCATTTCGTATGTATATACAAGCCCTAGTGTTTCCACATTGGGTATTGTATATTAACTTACCTTTGGTTTGTCCGAGCCTCGTTTGAGTTGGGGAGTTTGATTTGGAGTTCGGTTGGCTCCTATCTTCTCCGTTCTTCTCTCAGCTCTGGGTATGATTGGTTTTCCTTCAGCCTTAGCCTTTTGAATAGCCAATTTCATCTTTCAGGCGCCTGAGAGTCGCTCATGCGGCTCCAGGTAGGTCCTGTTGAGTTTTGAGGCAACTCGTTTCAGCCTAGTTTCTTTCTTGGGGTTTGTGGAACTGCCACTTGCCTCCGAAGGTTGTTCCGCCTTAGGGCGTTGTCCAAAGGTTGATGGAGACGAAGTTAATTCTTCTGGAATCGCTTCGGTTTCCATTACTTCTGTTGTTATTTGGTGTGGAAGGTTTTCTCCTTCTGGGAGTTCCCTGTCCGCGGTTGTTGGTTTTATTGGGTTTGTTTGATCCATATTGGTCCCACGAGTAGCTAGGGAAATAAATGTCCACCCGATCAGAGCCCCGCATGACCGGGCAAGGCTAGATTCAAGGGGGTTTCGCCCCAGAGGAACGTTCGCAACCGCTTTTCCAGCGGCCATTCAGCCTTCAGCACGTTGCCTTACACCTTAGTTGTTGATGGAGTGCCATTTAGTTAGTTAATAGAGCTGTTCATAGAGCAGCAATATTAACATATCCAGCGGTGCCACGAGGAGGCAGACACTCGATGATTGTATTTCTCCATTGGCATGCAGAAAGAGTTACCTACAAGCAAACAAGCAAGCAATCTAAGCTACAAAGCAATGGCTAAACTACAACCAACCCCGCCAGAGGCTCATAAATCGTAAGAATTTTAATCTCGGGGGGTGGGGCGGGGCATGACCCTCATAGTCGCCTCCTGGAGCCGCCCTTGCCCACCTGAATAATCTAAAACATCATCGCACAAAGATATACTTTCCCCGCCATTTTCTGTCCATGTTACTTTGGATCAAAACAGAAATCTATATCCTTTTTGAAAACTCACCGATAGATGGCGCTTCTACAGATATCTTCTATTAAAGTAGTTCTTGTTTTGGCAATGTATTCATAGATGGTGCCTCCCCAAAAAAAGATCCCGTCTCTACCATTTTATGTTCACATATTGGACAAAACATGGCCTTGATAATGAAGTGAATTTTTTCGTTTCTCTTGAAAACTGATTGAGATTTTTTAACTAAATTAGATATTTTTTTGTGAAAAAAAATTGTAAATTCTCCGATATTCTGGAAAATGTAGGTAAGGTACATATCAAGAAGCCAGAGAAATTTCGGAGTATAGTTTGTTGCTTTCCGTCTACAGCCATTGTATTTTAAATACAATGCAACTACAATTGTTAATTTTATTTTTTTCATTTTTCTCCGAAAATAATTCTGGGATCGCCCTGTACATTTCACCAAACGTAGAACAAAACTGATTGATTTTAATGCTTCTTTTTTTTTTATCTGTAGCTCTTTAAGAGTTATTCAAGTTTAAAATATTTTAATTACAAAAAAAATATTCTTTGGCTACCTGACTAAAATAGATCTTTAGTCCAGTGGCTTCCTATTGTACTTACTTTTATCTGCAGGAACAGCAAAACGGGTGTGGTTTAAAAAAATTCACTTACGATTTAAATAATTTATTTATACATTTAATGAACATACTATAACATGAAATCTTAAGGACACCGACAACTCGAAAATTACATTCTAAAATGTGCTGAAAATGTCTAGATTCACTATACAGTGAAAATAAAACTGAATGATAGTTTCGTTGTGTTGGTAAAAATTCAACAAGGAGAAAAAGGTGTCATACATTTACCACATATTATATTTATGTATGTATATTATGTTACATTTTTTATACATCCAATTTCAAATATTTTGTTTCATTAGGATGGGATAATCGGAATTTACTTTCTCGTCTTCTGAACTGATAATGTTTCTTTTTTATTTTAAGAATCTGTATCAATATTTACAAATTGACTACCTCTTAGTTTTTAACCTTTCAGTACGAAAAAATATCACAGATTCATATCAAACCAAAATAAGTTACAAAATGTAAAAACTTATCGTTTTCTTTTTTACAAAAAAACAAAAAATGGAAATTACATTTGACAATTTTATCTTAGGGAAAACGAAAGATTCAATTTTCTGTTTTTAGAAATTTGATAAAAGTTTTGTACAAATAACGGAAATAAAATTTATATATACACTTCGACGACTTTGTGAAAAAATTTTTCAGTTCAAATTTTAGGCATATACAGGGTGTTTAAAAGGAAACCTGCTGGTTCTTAATTTTTGTCGCATCCTGTTGGGTTTCCTATATGCACCCATAGATGTCTATCTATCGTTTTTATATCTATTATTAAATGACAATGCAGATTTAAAAGGTCAAAAACAAGAGTTTGCCAGCCTACAGATTTAATGTAGTTAAAATCGTCGCGAAAAATAGAAAAGATTGATAGATCTGCATCAAAATTGAGAAACATGACCGAAAAATTTCAAAGTTTCTGTATTTCGAAAATTACGCATTTTTAAACAAATTTATTTACGAAAATAAAATTCTCAAAATCAGTATCACGCAAATTAATTTATTATTAAAAACTAATTGTTAACCAGGTAATGATAATACAGGCAACCGGTTTCGGCTCAAAAATTATCAGGCCTAAAATTGAAATGATGATGGCTTTTGAGCCGAAACCGGTTTCCTGTGTTAACATTTCTTGGTTAACAATTAATTTTTAATTTAAAAATAAATTTGTGTTGTACTGATTTTAAGAATTTTATTTCTATTTATGAAAATGGCCAAATTCGAGCAGTTAAATAACCTCTATAATTTATATATTTATTTTGATGTCTCCTAGCACCTCTAAAAGTTTGTACAGTCTGTTCGTTATACTTACGCGGGTTTCGGATTAACAAAATTATGCAAATTAGTCATTGACAACCAGTTCCAATAAGCCTCTTCCCAAGAAATTAGGTAAAATTTCCCTAATGGTCAGATTTAAATTAAAATAACATTAGGGTAGGTACTAAATTTGTTACAAATATTGCAATTGAATTTATTCTTTGTAAGTGTTGACATTGTATGTATATTGTAAATTTAGTGGAAATTTTAAAAATGCCTAGACATGTGTTAGATGTAGATAGTCTAATTTGAAGTGTACATAAGTATTTTACGGATGATAAAGAAAATGGCGGTCCTTTAAAATCGGTAATGTCTGTACAACAACGCGTATGCGATGCTCTAGGAATTAGTGAAACCAAATTAAGAGGAGTATTACAAAATCACAATAGTAAACTGCCGAAAGAAGATCACCTCAAAACTCGCCCATAATTGAAAACGAAAGATATTCCAGATGGAAAGAAATTTGAAAATTGTGGTACCATTTATCGAATAGGGCCAGCAAGGGACATGTGACATTAAATACAATTCTCTCGGAATTAATAGATAGAAAATTTGACGACATAGGCAGAACAAGTCTATGGCAAGTGATACATAACTTGGGTTTCAAATGGAGGATAACAGAAAGGCCCTTTGTGAAAAAAGTTCTGTCGTGCACTTTCTAAGAAAATATTCTAAATTTAAAGAAGAAGGGACGAATTTTATATATTTAGACGAAACATGGATATTTTCTAGGGGTGCAACCAAGAGAATATGGCAAGATGATAACGTAAAGTCCATCAAAAATATACCGATGGAGAAGGGAAGCGACACATAATTTTACATGCAGGAGGGAAATCGGGTTTTATAGAAGGTGCTGATTTAATATTTTCATCTAAATCAAAATCCAGTGACTATCACGATAATATGAACACAGAAATGTTTGTAAAATGGTTGCATGAAAAACTTCTCCCAGGTTTAAGTGAGCCCAGCGTAATTATTTTAGACAATGCACCTTACCATTCTGAAGTATTAAACAAAAGTCCAACGAATTCTTGGACTGTTGATAAAATTAAAGAATGGTTGACAAAGGAACATATACCATTTCCTCAATATATATTAAAATCAGAATTATTACGCTTGGCAAATATACACGCAAAACCAAAAACCTTTGTTGTGGATCAGATTATTGAAAGTTACGGTCATCAAGTTTTATGTCTGCCACCGTATCATTGCCAGTTTAATCCCATCGAATATATATGGGGAATAGCAAAACAATATTATGACAACCATATTATGACTAATGGTTATAGTGACGACGCAGTTCGGGAAACTTGGCGAAAAGCACTTTCAATTGCAACTCCAGAAGTATGGCGGAACTGTGTATCCAAGTGCGAGAAACTAATAGAAGATTGGTGGACTCGTGAAAATAAAATAAACGAAATAAGTCCAATCATAATAACAATTAATGGTGATGACAGTGATGATGATGACGATTATGATATTTAGGATGATAATGACTGATTTTCATTTTTGTTGGCAAGTTCAATTTTTTATTTTTCATTTGAAATTCTCTACATGGAACAAATTTTTATGTTAGAAAATATTTTATTTGAGCTAAATAACCCTCTTATTATACATAGACCATATTTTCTGTGTGAAGTGTAATATAAAATTATTATTATGAGGACACTCGAATTCCCGTCAAGTACAATTTTAACCATTATCCGTTCCTAGAATTCCCGACAAGCAGTTGAAGCTTAAAATAATCCACTACTCGAGTTCCCGTAAGGGACGAATTTAATTAGGTAGGTAGGTACTTACCTCAGGTGCCCGATGCGGTCAGCAATTAAAAGGATTAATATATTTATTTACTTTTATTTATTTATTTAATAGCTTGATAAATAACATTTAAAACGATTATTAAGATGAGGCCTCAATAGGTATATATTTAGGATTTTTCGCA